GGGTGTTGCCCTTTTGTCATCTCTTCCCAGTCTCTACTGAATAATCTACCACATCTGATGAACCAGTCGAAAATGCCTGACACGGTTCAAACTTATAGTCAGTCTGAGACAAAGTCCCTGAAGGAAGTCCAGTCTATTTGATTATTATCCTGAACTGCATGCAGTACTTGTTTTCTAAAGCAATATGCAAGGGGTTTAATGTGTTTTATTCTCCACCGTCATGCAATACAATCACCAGATGTTTTGCACGAGGGCTGCAAACTATCCATCCATCCATCCATTCGCTTCCACTTATCCTTTTCAGGGTCGCGGGGGGCGCTGGAGCCCATCCCAGCTGTCATAGGGCGGCAAACTACTTGGATGAAATTTCATGCCAACTAGGAAGCATAAAAACTGCAGTTCACTGACAGGTGTGTCATCACAGCTCACTGTGCTTGTGCTTTTCTAGATTCTGTGAATTGTTGTGGTTAATTAATCAGACCAGTAAAACTAGAAAGATTCTATCCATCTCTTAAGTCTGATGTGATCAGCCATCTGGTCTAAACTCTTCTTTGATTCCAAAACTCAAACATGACTGAGAGCTAAAAATGGCCCAACTACTTTCATCTTCAATGAATTGTGAGCATGGCTGCTCTCTTAGGTGTCACACTGAAGTTCAACAACATGGCAGTGATGAAAAAAAGGATTTAGAGGTTAAACTGACTTAGACGTTAGCGGGAAGTTAGCTTGTTAGTTTCCATCTATGGATGAAATCCCACGTTATGACTCAGAGATTTATAAAAACTGAAACGTGCAGCTGTATTGCTTCATAAATGAAGACAGAAAGCTAAAGGTTATTGAAGATGGGCTAGCTAGCATATAATGGTGTGCTACTAGGTGGCTGCCTACAGACCTATGGTTAGGATAATATAGGAAAGCAAAGATGGAGGATGAATTTTAGACTTTTATCTCTCAACATAAACCAGTGTGAGGGTGTAAAAGAGATGAATGCAATCATATGTCAGAGAAAAGATGCTGAAAACGAAGCAAACTTCAGTCCAGAGAAGACCTGGGACAACCAGTCAACACGCTGGTGTGTGGTTTGGATTACTCGCTATGAAAAAGTCTCATGCCCACTCTTTTCTGAAGCATTTATATGTTTAGTGACCAGCAAACTATGAGCCCAAGAGTTGAAAAAGACAACAGTTAATGAAAGCAGCTTGGAGCACAGAAGAGCTAGCTTAGACCTTCATTCGATCCTCTCATCTAAACACTAAGCACTAGCAGAGGCTACTACAGATGTGCACCTGTACGTACATGTACAAAAAACACGAGCGAGGTTGTTATGTATTGATTTTGTTGCAGTAAAATAATAATATTCCTACAAAATGCTAACATCTGTATTCATACAGCTGCTTTTCCATAACAGCTGGTTCAGCGATGAAATGCTTTTAACTTTTTAAAGCCATTTGCCCCCAACTAATAACATAAACTGACAACAGGCAGCCTGCAGTGCTAAACATGGAAGCAGGGAGAGGCTATAAAAATACTTTACATAAATGAGCCATTATAACCTGTATGGAAATCTTCTGATAGTCTAGGAAGATTATGAGAGGCATATGATATAAACAGACATGGTGTGTAACTGTAGACTTTTCCTTCTGCAGGAGGACACAGGCAGTCTTGCTGATGGTAGATTCAGGTGCCGGAGATAAAAATTCCCCTTTCAACAAACAGCAACACAGACAGGATAAACTTGTTTTACATGTAACATAAACCCCAAAATAAATGAGAACAATTACTTTATTTTTAGGTTTCTTGTATATTTCAGTTTAATAATGTTTTAGAGCTTTTGTATCCTGTTACCTCTTTTTAATCCCTTAGATTAACAAAACAGTTATTATTTTGGCAATTTTTGACATTTATGACAGCAGGAGGTGCTGTTAAAGTTCAGTTATCTGATGAAATTAACTCTGCTATGGCTTACATATCTTTTATTTTTTTGCTTCTTGTATTTTATTTCTTGCTTTTTCCTTTTTTCTTTTAAATCGGTTCAATTTTCTTTAAACATTTCTAAAAAATAAGAATTTAAATTTAAATGAATTAATGTATTTGCTGTGTCACTCCTGGCACTCTTGGAGCCTTTTTCTTTGTTAATTCTTGTCATTAACTCTCTGTTGTGACAATGCCAATTGTGTGCTTGTTGCTGTATACGTTCACTTTTTCTCTTAGTAGGACGAAACTATTTGTTTCCATCTTTACATGTGATTTAGTTATAATACCAAGAATATTACTAGACGTGTGCTCCAATTTAGGCAGAAACAATGAAGCTGGCATGCTGCAAAGCTTGTTTTCCAAAAGACTTTAAGGTTGTCAGCAAGCCCCATTTATGTCTAAATGCTCTCTAAATTAAGATCATCTTTTTTTTCCACCGAGTATGTTCGGATGCACAAAGAAATATTCTGTGCTAGCAGCTGATCACATAATCACTTCCCCTGTGTGTCGTTAAAGGCGCGATCTTCTCTAACATCATCAGGTCAGCAGGGAGTTGTGCATGTGACAGTAACATAAAACACAATCTGTGAGGTGCTGCAGTCATCAGGCTTCACATGTTAATGAGTTTAATTTTCATCTCGAGCTTGCTCTTGGCTGTGTGCCCTCTG